TCTGTGAGATCAAAATGGTATCTTTTGGGGTCAGGGCAATTAAGGGTAACTTCTACTACATCCTCTGCTAACTCAATGCTATAGATTACTAGGATTTTCAATATAAGTTGAAGTGAATCCAAAATGCCAAAGAAAATGGATGGTGCAGACCCTTGCTTTTTTCTCAAAACGATGTTTCTCTTGAGTTCTTGGAAATAAACTTCAGTTTCCCTGAGATCTCATATATTGAATTTTTTTCAGTCAGATTTAATTTTGGTATGTTTGGGCTGAATATTTACTTTTTTGAGAATGATTATTGGAGTAATGATTATTGGGTGCTTTAAGGGATGGAAATTAGTAGTCCTCTTTCATAAATTAAGAAGCAAATTTAAGGAAGATGAACTTGCTAAACTATTACTTACAATGGGCAGCAAGAATAACCTTGAAGAATAGGAGGAAGAGCTGTAACCAAGACAAAAAAAATCTGAATCTAGGGCAGAAATATAATTTGAGAAAGTGACTCAAACAGGACCTTCCCTAATTCTCAACATGATAAAAGGGAGTATTAAAATTTGCAATGTTCTGTTATTGTACTATAACCTTATAATAAAAGTAGTATTAGCCTTCATAACCTTGATTCCCTAGTCTGGTCTACCTTGAAGGGATGACATGACCTCCCTTATACAGTTGGTTTAAAGTAGGTGGAGGATCTCAAAAGTTCAATGTTTGCCTTTTAAACTTTTTTTCTCATAGCGGCTTATAAATAGGAATCATTAGAAATGAATTATTCTGTTCAGGAGGACAATATAAGTCTCATTGCTCAATACTGCCAAAAAAGTGGTGTATCTTCAAGAAATAAATGGTAGATAAATATTTGCAGTACTAATGTTGTGCAAGGCAAACATCTAGAATTGAGATTAATCATTCAGCTTCGATGTTTGATTCAGCCAAACAAGAAAATTTGTGGAAATAGAGTCTTTGACATTATCAGGAAGGAAATGGTAGTCCAAAAGATAAATATAAGATTGGTAAAACTGGCCTGTCAATGTAAAATCAGTTTCTAGAACACAAAAAGCAATTGTTTAGGATATATTTTTTGCCTTATAGGTATCAATATTCAGATAAAAAAAATATTACTTGCTACTTAAATCTTATCAGAACAAGTGAAAAACAACATCATGTGTCTGCAGCATTTTATATAGAAGTCTTTTGTTGATACAGCATAATCACTGGTTATGATTATATCATGGTAGAAGATACAGTGAATATGGCAGTACTACACAATGTTGTTTTTCTGTCCCAAACAACTTTATAAATGGAACAGCTGATTTTTTTGATGCTGCATAATTTGAGCTATCATAAAAAGTAATGTATGCAAAATTGTCAGTTTTTGTTTAATACTTGAAGATTATTTTTTTTAAATGCAAATTGCTTTACAGTCTTTTCCCTGAGTTTGATTGTTGAAACTGTATTTAAGTGGAAATATTCATAGTTGCTCAAATTATAGAAATGTCAACAAGATAGTCACCCATAAGTATTAATACTGTAATTGAAGGTTTCACATGGATTTAACGGAACTGCTCACATAGTTGATGCTTCTGGACAGTATTTAATATTTATTTGTTATGTATATATAGGGGTGTGGGTCTATACATATGTTGTAGATAGTATGTTTAGGTGTGTTTCATGTATGTGTTTCACTTTGAGAGCGGGCAACTAAATTTCATTTTTGATGTGTGCCGTTGTGCCCACAGTAAAAAAAATGACAATAAAGGTTATCTTGTCTTACCTTACCTTTTCTTACTTTACTTTATCTTATCTTATCTTATCATTAAATACATGAATAAGGCATTGAAAAACTTATAACAGATACTATAAGCTGTGATTGATTAATCCTACATGCACAACACTTTCTGTTGTTATATTTTACTGCAGTGGAGTAATTTCTTTGGGAGTTTTTTTGTAAGTCATTGATCAACTTTCATGTTTGTAGTTCTTCTGTGGCTTTTTCTTCTTTACCTTTACTCTTTATTATATAGGCCCTGTACTATTGTCTATTCTATATAAATTTTTGGCAGGAATATCCAGTTCTTGGTACCAATAAGTCTTTTATTATTAGAGATACCAAGTAATTGAATCTCATTTATGTTTGTGGAGGTGGGTGAATTGATGGATTACACATAATTAGCTTACCGTAAATGCCGGCGTATAAGACGACTTCCGCGAGTGCTGAAATCAGCGCCAAAGACGGGGGTCGTCTTATACGCCGAGTCGTCTTATACGCCGGAAATACTGGTAGTTTCCGGTATATAAGACGACGTTCTAGGAATGCGGCCCGGCTATAAAGACGGGGGTCGTCTTATACGCCGGGTCGCCTAATACGGCGGCATATACAGTAGATGAAATTTTGTGTGTGTTTATGTATTGATAGATATTATCCCTGTGATAAGCACAAATCACCTTTTATGAGTGTGGGTGTATATGTTTGTGCTGAAGGCTACCAGCTCTATACTCATTCTAATGCTAAAATAATTTAATCTGATCATATATTTGGCAGCAGTGTAAAACTGAGTTGTAAGTCTTGCAGATACATTGCAGTATAGTTTAATAATATGATACAAGCATCAGATAATAACTATGTGAAATAGCAGTAGACCCTCCCACTGAGAAACATAAAATTAATACTGGTGACATGACTTGGCTACATTCTTTCTTATTCCATTAAAATTTATTGCTCCACTGAGTGAGTAATCGCAATTTTTATAGGAAATTTGATTCATCGCATGTTCAAAAGAAAATGTAATGCATAATTACATGCAACTTACAAAACTTATTTGGGAAGGGGGAGATGTTGCAAATATCTGAAAAGCTATAGAAATTTATAGTTAAATTTAAAAGAGTACAGATCTTCTCCATTTATTCTAACCCATCCATATTTTTGGAGATCACTCAAGGCTTCTCCAGAAAACTGCCTGATCCAAATTCTTTGATGAATTGATAGACAGGTCCACATTGCTATCCAATGCCATTTTTTTGTATCTTCACAGCACAGAATATTTCCCAAAGCACTGGTTTTTGTTGGATTCCTTTTGCTATTCAAAATCCAAGAAATAAAATCGTTCTTTTTAAAGTCAAAATTAAAGAATACATTGCAAGACTAAAAAATGATATATAATATTTACCCATTTGTATTTAAAGTTTATTCCTTAGGAATATATATTCAGAACATTTGACATTTTAGACTTAGATTTGAAGAATTGTGCTGAATAATTGTACTAATACTAAAGATTTAATTTTTAAAGATTATTAATTACACCATTCCTTTTTATTTCCCTTATTTGTTGAACAATAAATAAGGATTTTTATGAAATCTAACTGCACATGTAATCTAACTGCACCAACTGCATATACAAGAGGGAACTGAAAAAAATCCAGAATTAGCATATGAAAGGAATGCCAATGGTAGCATATATTCCATGTTCCTCTAATTTTGTATGACTATTGGCACATAAATAAATGCAATAAAGTACCTAGAAAATGCCCTGACCAGAAACTTCATAAAAAGCATTTTATGATGCAAAATTGCACTGCAGTTCTTACATGTAACTTTCAATGTGATTTTCTTCCAAAACAATTATGTCCACCACAAGTAAGAAATTCATGTTTCTTTAGGCTTTTTATCAATTGTGGGATTTCAAAGACTAATGCTTAAATGATTTGTGTAATTTATTTGAAGATGATTAGAAAAAATAGAAACCAGAAAAATAGCACTGTCGTTTTTTCATTATGTGAAACTGGATTGTATGAAAACTCCATAGGAGGATGCACTTGAATAACTCCCATTATTTAAGAACAAGATCAAGTCTTATTGAGCTCATAATGATAGAGGACTCCCATCGTTCATTCAGATCTATTTTAATACAATTATATAGAAATGCTATTGCAAGTTCACTATTAACAAAAAAGTAGATTACTTTCTAAAATAAACTAACCTTAAAAAAGCATTCAAACATGTCCCTTCCTTAAAATATAAGCATTTGGCTCTCATCCTCTTCTATCCATGTAATATAGTAGTTCTAGGACAGTCACTGGCATATACAAACATCAGGTTCACCAGGGAAGATACCAAGACAACAGACTGGCCTTCATAGACTACGAGATGCTGATTGGGACCTGTGGCAAACTAGAAGTAGAGATTTACAAGAAACCCACACACAATACCCGCTGTTTGACTCCCACCATCCAGGAGCAATAGCACCACAGGATCAGAATCAGCATATGCATTCATTTTTTTAAAAAGGACACTCTTTTGAGTAGAATAGTGTTCACATTTTGGACAGGGAAAATAGATGGTTTAAGAGAGAAATGAAGGAATCCATTTATGCCAAAATCAAAAATCCTTCCTAAATAGAGATGAAGGCCTCAGACATAACCTGTCCCCCATTTTTATGCTACTCTTTGACCAATCCCCAGAAAAATTAAGACTGCTTTACTGATTCAACAGGAAGGCTACACTTAATGACCCTAGGAGTTAGAACATTAGGAACTAACATTAGGATTTAGGACTTAGAATATTTATATCCGAACAACTCTCTGCCTATTCACCTAATGAGCCTATTCAGGTTAGATGAGATGTGAAACCTACCTGGAGAATATATATAGGGTCCCCTAATCAACTTTTCAGACTGAAGAAGCTGCTTGGATAAACAGTGAAACATTTTGAATCAATAAGAAAAGAAATCCAGTTGCCATGACTCAATTACCAGTCAACTCTACTTGAATGACTGAGAATTTTCATGGACATACTCCCTGGCATATATGTTCTACAGAAATCTTCTAAACCAGTCTAAAGGGTTTGTGAATTGATAATCTCATCTTTGGTGGCTTTTGGTATGTAAACTATTGGCATATATACCATCAAGATACATTTAATTTCTTTGGAGGTACAGCTCTGGATTTTGTTTTATTCCATATACCTCAGAACACAGTGCATTTAACGTTTTTCTTGTTTATCTTTTCAGAATTATAGATCAGCGGTTTGAACGAGTTTCATATTTTATCTTTGGTGATTTCAATTTTCGATTGGATTCAAAATCAGTGGTAGAGGTAGGAAATTCTTTATTTACATCTACATTTCATTCAAAATACTTCAATTTTTTAAAAAATAATTAGTAAGGAATTTAAATTGATACTAAATTTGCCCAAAAAACAATTTTTTATAAAAAAAACCCTTGAAAATAGCTATCAAACTATATGGTTTGCATAGTTTTATAATTTCAGAATGATTCAATATGATTATTCTTTATTCCTGCTATAATGCGAATCATATAATATATAGAATCTACAGTAAACCTATTATTTCAATACAAAGAGTCAAAGGCTGCACTGATAAGGGATTTATTCTTGAATGATTGAGAAATGTTCCTCTTCTGATACCATAGACAGAAATGTGCAATCTATGGAGTCCTTGGTGCTTTCTTGGTTGTTTGCCAGCAAACATTTTGTTCCTTTTGTCATCATATTTATCTGGTAGTTATTGATTTGGTTCTTTTAGTTCATTTCAGTCCTCAAGAATGCAGACTAAATTCTCCAACATTTCTGATTTCATTCACATTTCTTGTGAATGAAACACTGAAAACTGTAGTAGGTCAAAGGCACTTATGCTGCAAAGATCTGTACCCCCTTGGGAGGATTCAAATGTTTGCCAAAAAATAGTTGCTGGGAACGGCATTCATTCATTCATTTATTCAAACATTTCTAAAATTGTCAACCAAAGTGGCATGCAAACTTTGAAAAATGCTGAGTGATAATAAAGGAATCCATTTCTTGTTTTCTCACAGAACTTTCATGGTGAAGAGTTACTATATTGTAAAATGATATGAGAATCATTTTGGGGCAGGAATGGGAATAATACCCTCTGTAATATATACAGCGGTGCTTAAAAGCTGTGAATTTTTTTGAATGTTCAATATTTCTAGAAAAATACAACCTAAAATGTGATCACTTCTCCACACAAGTTCTAAAACTAGACAGTGAGAACCTAATTATACAAATGAGTCAAAAACATTTCAGAGGGGTTCACAGACTTTTAAATCACTTTACATCTGTCAACCCAGCAGCTGAAGTAACTATTACATTGTTGTAGCAATAAGCCATCAAAGTTTACTTGGGGTTGAAAGCTTCTTGGTAAATTGTCAATTTATCTTAACCCCATTTACAACAACAAAAAATCCCATAACTTGTTTTCTTGCAGTGGCTGGGTCCACTAATCTGTGTTTAATTAGTACCTACTCTTTCACTGTTCATATAAAGCAGATGTAAGTTTTAGCTCATTATTAGCTAATTAAAAAGGCATAGATGTTCCAGCTGTGTTTGCTCTAGTCGGCCATAACAACTTTTGTTTTGTTTTTGTACTTAATCCATTTGCACTTCTGTTGTGCAGTCTGAAAGTTCAAACATGTCTTGAATAACAATAGTATTTGGTAGATTGCTGTTCAATTCCTAATTAATTTTTTAAAGACATACTTTATAGATGCCTTAGAGCAGGCATGTCAAACTCGCAACATCACATGACATCACGCAACGTATCAGGCCGGTTTTGCCATTGCCGGCAATGGGGTGGGCACGGCTTCCACATGACACGTCCGGCCCGTGGGCCGGCAGTGTGACACCCGTGCCTTAGAGGCTGCTTAACCTGAAAGTTATAGTTCCTTTTGTTTTCAGTATCATTTTAAAAGCCCTTTACTTTCTAATTAATAAATGTAGAAATATTCCCATGCAAAAGTTTCTATACTTAGAAACTTTTGCAAGAAGAGTCTTGTTTATTAAAACATTCTGCTATATAATAATAGTAATAGTGATAATAATAAAGTTGAAGGGACCTTGGAGGTCTTCTAGTCCAATCCCCTGCTCAGGCAGGAAACCTATACCATTTCAGACAAATGGTTGTCCAGTCTCTTCTTAAAAACTTCCAGTTTTGGAGCATTCACAACTTTTGGAGGCAGGTTGTTCCACTGATGTATTTTTTTTTTACAAATTTTATTTATAATACAATTAAAAACAAACAAACATTGGATTTGACGTGACATTCCAGTATATACATTCTTATCAGATTATTCCACTTTTTACAATCAATTATTCATCTCTACATATACATCTAAGTTTTATATACAATACTTGTTCTAAAATAACATATATTTCTATCTTAACATTTGTCTTTAATCCCTACTGTCCTCTTCAAATTCCTCCAGCGGTAAAATTTATCCCAGGTTTCATAATAAACTGATCCACATTTATCTTTTAATATCATTGTGAGCCTGTCCATTTCCACACATGCTAATATTTTATGTATTAACTGTTCCTCTGTGGGAATTTCCTTGCTCTTCCATTTTTATGCTAAAGCAAGCCTAGCTGCAGTCAGGATGGTTCCACTGATGTATTGTTCTAACTGTCAGGAAATCTCTCCTTAGATCTAGGTTGCTTCTTTCTTTAGTTTCCATCTTTAGTTTCCATCCGTTGCTTCTTGTCCTGCCTTCAGGTGCTTTGGAGAATAGCTTGGCTCCCTTTGTGGCAGCCCCTGAGATATTACATACTGCTATCATATCACCCCTAGTCCATCCTTATATAATGGAAACAGTCCAGTAGTTTTGCTACAATAAATAACATGTTGCCTGTAGATTTAAGCAAAGTGAAGGTAAGGGCTATAATTCTGGGAAAGGAATGGATTACGTGTAGCCCAGGTTCTTCAACATAGTACCTACCAGCTAGTGTTTTTGAGAGCTGGAAGGCATCAAACTTTTTTTAAAATAGATATAGGTATCTATAAAGTAGTAAAACTCTTGTTTCTGTAACCTTTAACTGGGCAAAACCATGCATCGTAGGGCATGGAGTTTTATAACCTAGGTACCTACAATTTACAGAAGGTGTCCAAAATCTGGGATCCATGACTCCCACGGAATTGAAAATTTGCCAAATTTTATAAAACAGTTTATGATATGAAATGATTGTCAAACAGTTTATGGGGTGAAATGTAGTACAGTGTGGCAGAAGGGTAGAGGTCTTTCCCAAGGATCAAAGAGCTTAGCTCTTTGGTATACCAAGAATCTTTGGTATTCAGGAAGAAAGCCAGAGGGGATTGACTTCCCTAATCTTTCACAGGATATCTAATAGTTATGCAGATTTTGTCTGGCAGGATTTCTTCTGTAGTGAAGAACAATAAAGGAACTACTTTGAAGTAACTCCTTATGTTGTTCTGGATCCCTTGTGCCCAACAGTTTATGACATAATACAAAACGTCATAAAACATGTTGGTGTTTGACTGTGCTATATGTTCAACATATTTTCAAAGCAGATATGTCTGTCTGTGAATGTATCCCAGGTTTTTCAGTGAAGGCAGTGTACATTAGAATCTGTTAAAGAAATATCTCTGAAAGGATGACCTAATAATTCACGGCATTGTTTCGTATTTTTAAAATGGGGGAGGGGGAAGAAACGAAGAAGGGAACTTTGGCTTCTGGTCACATTTAAAAGATATTCTAGGAAACGTACACCATGTGGTAGCCATTGAATATTTTAGGCTAGAACTCCCCTGGGGCTGTCTCCCTTGGTAGGAAACAGAGATGAACACCCCACTTAGAGTTGGACCATAACATGAGAAATCTTCACCTTTTGGAGAGAGATTGTGTATGTGTGTGTGTTGTTCTGTGTGTATGTATATGTATAAATAACTGTTATCCACAGCATATATTGCTTAGCTATTATAGGTCTGGGAATAAAAGTTTTGCTTGGTTTTATTTTAAAACTCAGTCAAACTTGATTTGCAATTTGGATTGCAATTTCTTTGACATATTCAGATCTCTCCAAAATAGATCTTCCCTTATTATTGTTGGAATAAAAAACCTTTTTAGAATGTATTTGCAGCAGGAAACAATCCTGACAAGCTGTGGTAGAGATATAGCAGAGAAACTAAGTAAATTCTTTACATCTGTGTTCATTACAAAAGATATAAGACAGCTACTTGAGTCTTTATTAATCTACTTAGGTAATCAAAAAAGCAGTAAATTATTTTACCTGAGAAAATAATGCTTCAGTATCTTGAAACACCATAATGTAACCACCTACAAAAATCTGTAATTTATCACTCAAATCAGGCTCAGTGCCAGAGCAGTGGAAAGTAGTCAATATGAATCCATTTTTTAAAGGGAGATCTGGGAAATTAAAGGCTAGTTAGTTTAATGTCTATTCCAAGCAATTTAGTAGAAATTATAAGCAAAGAAAATTAATTAGAAGCTAGGGGAGTAAGTCTTGCATTCAGCCTAGATTTTCCAAGGGGAAATCCTGCCTCAGTTTTATTAGAGTAAGTTTTTGTAAATGTCAATAGACATGAGGATAGAAGCAATCTCGTGTACATTTTTTGTTTAGATTTTCATAAGCCTGTTCTTCATCAAACATTTTTGAGCTAATGTAGTAGTTGTGAATGAGGAGGTACCGTATGTTCTTTATGGGTTGCTAACTGATTAAAAACAGAAAGCAAAAAGTAGGAATAAAGAGGCAATTTTCTAAATAAAAGGAAACAAGAAATGAGTCCCCAAAAGATTTCCATTAGTGGCAGTGGTTCTTTATGTGTTGACAAATGATTTTGATTTTAGCAATATGCTGTACTAAAATATTCAGAAAGGTATAAAAATCAAAAGTGAGTATAAAAAATTGCAGGAAGGGCTTTTTAAACTGGATGGAAGGCCTAGTTATCTATCATTGCATTTCATATTCCACTGCAATCTAGCAACTTTTAGCAGTTCACTTGATATAGTACATAGTACAGAAAACAATTAAAATATTCACAAAACGGTTAAATTGACAATTAACAGTCATAAAATCCCAGAAACAAGTATACAATATAACTTAAACTAAAATAGAACAAAAATTAAAAGAAAATTAAAGAATTTGGAAAGTAAAAGGTGACACATTGCATACTCTCTCAAATAGTTATGTTTTTAACATTTCTGGAAAAGCAATGAGGACCCTTCCTGATCTCTATGTGGAATCCATTCTAAAGCATTGCCATTGTCACAGTGAGTGGCATTTAGCTTCTGTTCTCCTCATTACTC